TTGATTAAGTATATGTATATATATATATATATATATATATATATACACACACACATGTATGTGTACATATATATATATATATATATATAATAATAATAATAATAATAATAATACGTATACATATATAATAATATAATAATGTGTATCATAAATTGTATCAATTATACATTATAAAAAAATTTTTATTTCAAGAATTCTGACTATACTTTTCATCATATAAGAAACAAGATGATATGATATTTAAATATTTATAGAGTATTGTTTTTTATAGTTTCCATAATAATTAAAAAAAAATACTATTAAATACATAAAATATCATTAAATTATATTTCATTATGTATTTAAATTATTATTAACATGAGTTATTAAATGGAAACCACTTCAAACAATACTGGTTTAATTACATACAAATAATTATTATAATGTACTCACCCCTTGATTTCTTCTTCTCTTGGTCATACATTATGACAACCTCCATAACTTTACCAAAACGGGTAAAGAAAGACCTCAAATCGGTCTCTGTCACATTACTTGGTAAGCCACCAAGAAAAACTTTCGGAAAGCCTCCACTGCGTTTTGGTTTCTGTTGAGTGCGTGGATTACATGGTTTCGGGTCAATCTATAACCAAATAATGGGAAATATAGATAAATTTTCTTTTTTATCTATATCTATATCAATTTCTTTTTCTTTTTTTCGTGTTATATATAAAATATATAAAATAATACTAACTGTGCGCCCATCAAGTTGATGTGGTCCATTCTGAAGAACTAATGGAACATTAGCTGGATCACTAAATGTTACAAATCCAAAACCACGACTGCGACCAGATTCACTGTTTTTCATAACAACGCAGTCAATTACTTCGCCGTAACGGCCGAAGTAACGTTGAAGATTTTCTTGTGTTGTCTCCCAGGACAAACCACCAACAAACAACTTTCTGTAAGAAAAAATTTTTTTAGAAATAAATAATAGACTTATATAAATAATATTAATAAAAAATGTCTTTTAAATAAATTACGATACACGAAACAATATAAATAGAATAACGTTTTTCGAATTCATTTTTTATAATACGTTATATAATAAAAGAAAATTTTGATATTTTGATAAATTTAATGTAGTAAATTAAATTTAGGTTAATTAACGTAAGAAATAGCAAAGTATAATTTTATTTAACACGCATAAAAAATACACGATTTATATTGTAAAATATATTTATCAATGACCTAATTTTGATAATAATCCATAATGCACATAATATTGAAGTATTTCATGACGCATTTTTTTTTATCAGTAATGAAAATTCACGGAAAAATTGATATATGCATAATAATATGCCGCTTAACACATATCTATCAATAATCACAATTGTTCAAACGTGTAAGAAAATCGCGTAGCGATGGAGTATTGAAATGCTCTGATCTTTCAGGATATAGAGCATAAAAATAGAGAATCTAGAATTGAAGGATCTAATAAACGACGATGCAGTAGCATACTTTCACACCGAAATAAAATATCAAAAATATACATAATATTCTAAACCACCATACTCGTGCTTGTCGATTTTTCCAAAAGAGTAACATCTAAACAATCAAAAGTGTCGTAAGTATTAAGAAGAACACTATGCAGAACCGGCATCGAACTATTCCCCTCTCACGAAAAACCACATATCTCATCGTTTATTGCTGCAGGAAAAAAAGATTGGCCTCGCATATCATAAAAATCATATATGAATAACGAAGCATGATGACGTTTTGCGTAATATAGATAAGCAATTTAGCTCATGATCAAGCAAACATTGAAAGCAAGTAAGAGATACGAAGTAACTGCAATACGCAATGGAGATCCCACGCAATAAACCCGACAGTCCATGAACGCGTCGATCGAAAATTCTCGCATAAAAATACCTTTCAATGGCTAGTAATATGTAATTCAGACTTACCCCTTTTCGTCGTCGTCCATTTCGGTCTTCACTCTCATAATATTTCACTTAAAACTACGAGAATGTTGTTAGTATTAGGGCGCGAATGGGAATATGGCACGATGCTTAGCGCGGACGAGGGTAATGGCTCCCCACAATGAACGCGACGTCGAGAACAGAATGTAAACGTAACGAAGCGACTCGCGTCACTTCCGCTGGTACACTAGTCAAATCAGCAATCGTATTCAGTACTTCAGGGACGTGCATACAGGAAAATTACGCCCTCTGCAATACAAATAGTACGATTTTATATTTTATTTTCATTAAAATATTTTGTATGTTGCATAACTATATTTTTTCTTAAAAAATATTATATATTTGAAACAAAAATAATTAATATTTCTATCGTTCAAACAGTCAATTATTATTAATATTTTATATTAATCTACGAGTTTCATAATCTATACAAGTTGAATTATTACAATTATTACAACCCTGAAAAAAATATTATGTATATTTAATGAATTCAATATGTATCTAAATAATCAATGCAATGGTCAATAATAATGTTTCTATGTTATTAATGAATAAATAAAAAATATGTCGAAATAAATATACTAGTTGAATATAGTAGTATTTCTGGGTTCAACGATCTGTCGTCACAGAGCTTCCGCCATATTATTTTTACATTGGCGGGAAACTTTAAATCACATATAATTTAAAGTATAGAAGATTCATTTGATATACAGAAAAAATTAAATCTTTTCCATTTTTAATTGAGGTGAGAATAAGCTCACCTGCATTGAAAAATGCATTTTCATCATAATTTATCTATTATAAATTCACATTTTTACCAAACAAAACATATTAATTTCCTTCTTACATAAAAATGCAATTTTCTAGTCGTTGCATAATGCATAAGAAAACAATTGCATTGAATAATAACATTTATATCTGTAATAATTTCATAAAGAACTTAAACAGAACAATATAAATATTAGATTTTACATAATTTTAGATATTATATAATTATATTAATTAAAAACATTGCATTAAATCTAACATTAAGCAAATATTTTTAATAAAAAATAAAAATAATTTTTTCTATATAATTTTTTTTATGATTTTTTTTTTTTTTCATAATTATTTATACCATATAGACGATCGAATCTTTCATTTGATAAATCTATGATAATGCAAAACACGCAGAACTAAACAATCAGACTTACCTTAAATATTTTTAAAAATATATTTCAAATCAGAATTTTTGTTTAAATATTTACCATTATATTTATCATAAAAAAAGGTATTTTTAAAAAAAAATTGATTAAATAAATTTCATTAGAGAATAAGAATAGTTCTAAATACATCAAACAGGACAAGATTATTCCGTACAGTTTCTTTTTCATTTGCTTACAATTCGTTCCCATTTTATAATTTTTCCTTGACACACAGTAGTTAGAAATCGCTAACTTCCCAGAAAGTAATAAACATTGTTAATCGAAGAATCGTAACAAAGATGGCCTAAAAATCAAAGGTTATCACGTGTGTAGAATTCGAGGGATCGATTCCTCTTTATTCTCCGCCTTTCCGGCTAAAGGATATCCACAAGGCGGCTAAAAATAAAATTATTTAACTCGAGCAACTCTTTCCTTCTTCGCCCGATTCATCCGGCCCGCCAATTTAATTTCATTGTAAACGTTTGAATCATATTAGAATTCTCGTTATCCAACCACGATAAGACTATATAAT